ATTTGCGAACACAAACGCAAAACATCAAGTCAGTTCTCCCACCGTATCACAACTTCTCCTAAGGAAACCCTAATTTGACAAATCTTGACTTTTGATGATTTGAGAGCTTTCCTCGGGGAATCATGATCAACCCTTGATCAAATGATGAATATCACTTCAAAATGTTGATATTAACCGAAAATCTTGAAGCTTGACTATATGTTGGCCATAGTTGACTTTTTGACCAATACAATTGATTTTCAATCATCTGAGCCATTGACTGAGCAAACTTTTGATGTAGGGTTTGAAACCTGATATGGACCTTGTTGAGGACCTATGAAGAACCATGGAAGCCACTTGAGACACTTTAAAACCAAATTTCCTTGAGAAATTCAAAACCCTAATTATATGCCTTTGGGCTTAGGAGGTGAGTTGCCTCGTCAACCCTGGAAGTCTTGAAAGAATGTTTTGAAGAAAAAAGGGAGGGGAAATTTTGGGGTACAGCAGTAATGATGCATGATATGTAAATGCACTGTTTTCAAGGACATTAGGAGATTTAAATTTGCTAACCAAGAGGAAACAGAAACAAAGATTTCATTAATAAGTTCAAAATTACAATGGCCTCTTAGGCTTACAATGAAAAACAAAAAGGGTATCAAAGAGACCACAATATGAACTTCTAAAACCTAAGACTCAAGTCTCCCATAGACGCTTCCGCTTCGTGTTGATGTATGCATTAAGGATTTTCTCCTCGTGAAGTTGCTTTGTGAGCTCCAACACTTTCTTTTCACTTGCATAGAATTAAGTTTCAAAGGTGTCTCGTTCTTTCTTGAGTTAAATCCAGGAATTCTGCAATTCTTCGAGGTCAGTGGGCATGTCTAGATGGAGGATGGTGCGAGATACGTCTCCTTCGATAACAGGCTCTATGATCACTGGTAGAAAAGCTGGATATGGCATCATGAGGTTTTGAGCGCGAGCTTGTACCCATTTGAGGTAGGGATCCAGAGGGATGTAGTTCTTCTGTCCTAAAGCCTTACTATCAATTTTGCTCATCATGCCCCAAGAACGTATAAATCTCTGATGATAACCTTGAGGATAATTTTCATAATCGAATACAATACCCTGGATAAGTGTGTCATGAGAACCATCTCTTCGAGCATAACCAAATTGACATAGAGCCAGAGAAGGGTTATAAGTAATACCTTCCCTAATTCCACGGAGTGGAACATTATGGAATTCTCCACAGCGGTCAATGATAGTGATATCCTCATGAGATTGGGAATACCAGTAGATGTTTGTATGAGAAAGTGACATTATTCTTTGCGACAACCTCAAACCTTGTTAATTCTTCATTACTGATTAGGGAAGGTGAAAAATAAACCACCTGGATAGTAGAGGTATGCAACACATAAGAGTATCTCGTTTCCTCATAGTGCGAGTGTGAAGAGAATGCAAAATATCTCCAAGAAAAGTAGGCACATGGTTACAAGTGAGAAATATTTTGACGGCATTCATATCTATGAGTTCGTATAGATTAAGGAATAGCACCAACCCATAGATTAACAAAGCCAAGATTTCTTCGAAAGCTTGGAAACTTATAGCATCCAGAAATAGTTGAGCTTTCTCCATCAAAAAATTAGCCAAAAAATCTTTGACTCCACTTCTCGTTTCCCAATTAGATACAATGTCAGACCACTTCAGATGTAAGGCTGCTGCAATATCTTCTAGTTTCGGAGCTTCCTCTAAACTGGTGAAGGGTGTCTGATCAAGAACAGGTACCCCCAGTAACTGAGAGAACTCCTCCATTGTGGGTACCAACTGATAATCTGGAAATTTGAAGCAATGATGTACATGGTCAAAGAACTGGAATAGAACATTCATCATGTTTTCGTCAAAACCTATGGTAACCTGACTGAGTAGCCGACCATGCCTTTTGATTAATGGAGAACTTTCGGGAACCCTTGTGACTAAATCCTTAAGCTGAGGAGGCACCCTTAAAAAATTGATCTGGATGGTGTTTCTGCAAGCGGAGGCCATAACCTACAAAACAAAATAAATATTAATCTCCTTGTCCTCGAAATGGTTAGTGAAAATGATATGGTATGATGTCATGATGCTATGATGTCATGTTCGAGCAATTAATCATGCACAAACAAAAACAAATAAGGCCTTAGGTTTAAGCTGGCATGGATTTTGTAGGTAAGTACCCTCTTGAAGTTTTAGTTGTCTCAACCTGTCCTAAAAGAAGTAACCGGGTTCTAGGAGCCTCAATATCACTGATCTTTCTCTCATGCATTGTTTCAGCACAAGCATCTAATTTGCGACAGAAATATCTTGAGAGTCTAATCTCAATGAGTGTAGTATCGAGTATCAACCAAATTTAGTCTGCACCAAAATTGGCCATCTCACTACTTTCTAATGGCTAAGTCGTATCAACTAAGGTTCTACGGTCAGTTAGTGCTTATGACACCACGCGACAACACATCATTCTCCTTGACTAACTCGAGTCACACTAGCACCAACCAATGTGTCGCACTAACGTAGCCATCACTTTAACCATATCGGTATACACCGTACAATTTTCACAATCTATTACTACTTACCTAAAATGCCCCTAGATTCGGGTATAGGATCTATACAAGAAATAAACCCAAGCATATCCTGAAATATAAAGCATACAAGGCAAACAAGTAAAGAAATAAAAGTGATATAGCTCTTAAGGTAACCCCACTTTAAGTATGTACTCCCAAGTAGAGTCGTCAATTCTGTAATACAGTGGGAGAATTTACTTTTTGTTTTGCATTTTATCGTAAATATTGCGGATAACAAGAGTCGCCACCAAATTTTCTTTTATCCAATAAAGGAAAAGGTGAAAAGAACAGGAAAGACCTTCGAGAAGTTTCTGAGTTCGGGGGCTAGGTTATGAAAAGGGAAGGTGTTAGCACCCTTTTCATACGTAGTTATCTACGGGCTCTTAATTGCTAGCTCACTTTCTGAAAATGCTTTGTGTTGTGTATGTTTGAAAATATTTTGAAAATGCCTAAGTGCGTAAATTTTGTAATGATTCTCGTATCGTTGAGAATGCATATAAAATGTTTATTTTGAAAATATTTGTTGAAAAAGTGTCATTGTGTGAAAAATGTTTTGAAATATTCGCAAGCAAGTGATTAAGAACTATCTACCTACTCAAAAAGTCTTTGTTCTTTTCCTCCTACTTTAGATAGTTATACCCTACCATTAGTTAGTAGGAAGCCCCATCGTTGGACGTGAGGGACAGGCGCGGGTCATCGTACAGTCATAAAAGGCAACTTGTAGGATGCTTTAGCAATTGTCGTAAGGGACTAATATCGTTTACAGAAGGCAGCATCGAAGGGTCATCGAGGAACTACGATCTTTTAATCGAGGGTCTTTGCTAAAGCATCCCACGCTCGAGGGATATGATTGTTTTATCCGAAGGCAACAAGTGAGACTACCCTAGAGGTGCGCGTGTGCAAAGTGTTTTGATTTAAGTTAATTTATCTTGGATTTATGGTTATCTAGCACTTGATTTTAAATCTTGCCATACACGCCTAATTACTATACAATATAAGGAAAGCAGTAAAGGTAGAAATTAAAGGGGCCTATGCTATTACAAAGCTTCGGGGAAGGGGTACAAATTTATGAATGGGGATGAGTCGAATCGACAATACGATTAAAAGTCTAAATAAACAATCAATACAACCCAATCGAATTAAAAATAAACAATTAATTAAACTAAAAAAATCTACTTAATAAAATTAAGGCAAAATACCCTTTTTGGTCCTTTAAGTTTACCCCAAGGTCCATTTTGGTCCTTTATCTAAAAAAAGTGTCAAACTGGTCCTATAATTCTTTCAAAAGGACCATAGGAGTCCTTTCCGTCCATTTTGGTCCTTTTTGTTTCAGCCCATCCTTCTTCATTTCAATTTGTAACTCCATTATCTTATGTTTTAACCCATCCTTCCTTTCCTTTAGATGATGTATCTCCATCTTTGCTCCACCAAGCTCATTTTGCAGCTTCTCCAATGAACCAAAAAGGACCAAAATGGACGGAAAGGACTCCTATGGTCCTTTTGAAAGAATTACAGGACCAGTTTGACACTTTTTTTAGATAAAGGACCAAAATGGACCTTGGGGTAAACTTAAAGGATTAAAAAGGGTATTTTGCCTAAAATTAATTATCAAAATAATTAATAATATATAGATAATATTTTTAGTTTAATTATTTAGTTAAAAGGTGTTTATATATATTTTTTATTTTTAATATAAAGAAAATTAAAATAATTAACAAAACAAATAAACTAAATTGAAAAAATACAAGAGTAAAACTAAAGTAAATGGGCCAGAACTTAAGCAAATAGGGGGTGTGGGCAGAATTTCGGATGGGCTAGAAGGAGGTGTAACCCGGATTGGGCTTAAGGGCTAGAGCCCAGATGTTGTACAAACTGAACTAACAAAATAAATAAATAAGTAAATAAAAAAAGTGAAACTGATGGGCTGGACCGGGTCGGCTCCGGACCCAATTCTATTCTTAAAACCAAACGGGTTATCAAAACCCTAAAAAAACAAAACACGCTCAAACGTCCATAAAGGAAATAAGAACCGCAGAAATTACCTCTTTTCTCTTAAACAAAAAAATCATGTTCATCAATCATAAACGAACAAAAATAACAAAATCTCTCAACCAATCTCTTTCAAAATCTCGCTCCTCTTCTCACAATTTCTTTATATTCAAATCTTTTTTTCCTTTCTGTTTCGCTCACAGTGTTTATGCACAAACCTAACTCAGAGGAAATGAAAACAATGAAGAACTTACCTCGGTTGGAAATTCCTCGCGGTTATGCTCTATCAAATAAGTTTGTGACTTCTTTTCTTTTTGCTTTGGATCTCATCTTCCTCTCTACTTCCTTCTGTATTCTTCTTGTTCTTTTGATCTGCGGTGCTTTTGTTGCATTACACGTTGTGAATGCATGAGTTTAGGAGGTTAGTTAAGGTTGAGTATCATGGTTGCATACGATTTATGCAGGTCCAGTGCAAAGGATAAGAATAGCATATCAGAATTTTACAGAAGGAACATAGTTATTTTCATGTAGGTGGTGTTGATGTTGTGATGTTTGGATCTGGAAGGATGAGTTGAGTTTTTGAATGAGGGAAATGTGTAAGCACAAACGGAAAAAACGAAACAAGGGCCACTGAGTTTTTGAGTTTTTTTGTTTGTGATTTGTTAGGGGTTAATTTGAGTGAAAAGTTGAGAGCATGAGAGTTTTTATAGTGTTTTATTTGAAATTTTTTCTGTGAAATTTTCTACAAAATGATTGTTCTGTTAGTGGTTTTCTTGGAATTTCTTTGTATTGCAGGTTGCGGTTGAAGAGAGGTTTGTTGCAGAAAGATTATTGTATGGTTATTGTTTTGTGTAGTAGTTGCTACACTAAAGTGTATGAAGGTTATGGAGAGAGGAAAGGAGGTTGGTTGTTCATTTTCTGAGCAAAGTTTAGAGACTTTCTTTTATAAATGATAAAGGGTGTAAATTGGGGGGGGGGGGGGGGGAGGCGTTTGGTGAATTTTGAACACTTTTGGTTATTGTTTCATTGTCTTTCTAATGCAGTTTCTGTTTTTTCTAATTTGGTGCAATATTTGACTTGATATGATGCAGGTTTACAACGATTATTTGGACTGGTTTGTGAACCTTTTTTATGGACAGTAGGAGCAGAGCATCATCAGGTTTCTTGGACTGGTGTAGGCAGTGGAAAGTTTGGATAGTAGCATAGTTCTAGTGGGCTGGTGCTGCAGCAAATGAGCCATGTTATGTGCAGCAAGAAAAAAGAATTGGAGCAAAGATGGACTTGAAGTTTTAGGTTTGAAGATTAGGATTTAGGAATTTTTGTATTTTTCTTGTATTTGGAACCAAACTTGTAACTTTTGAAATTTTGATTAGAAAATTGATATGAGAAACTTGAATCACGAATGAATTTGAAGAATGGTATTTGAAACTTGGTCCTAAAGACACTTTTAATGAATCTTGAATGAAACAAATGATTTTTATGAATGACAATGCTTGACTCTTGATAAACCTTTGAATTAGGCCAAGATAATTGTTTGGAATTTGTTATGATAATGCATCAATTTAAATGGGAACTTGAATGAAATTGTTTGGAATACTTGATTCCATGAACTCATAATCAAATTGAATCAACAAATGTCCATGTGTACCATTTTTGAATCTTGACAAAACCATACACAAAACCTTAATTAGGAAGGAGGAGATATATGAAACCACACCTTGTAGCTTAACGAATCGCTAACTTTAATTCTCCAAAATCAAATTAACTTGTAATTGAAGTAAACAAGTATTTGATGAGAACCAAAATTATATCGACCAAAATGAATTGAAACTTGTACTTTAACCCACCACAATCAACAACGCCTTCATGAATTGAAATTATAAGCCAAACCCTTTTTTTTAAAAGTCAAGAATTGACCTATAACGTTTCGATAAGTTTCAAAACCTTCTAAGCATAATTTGACTCTGATCCTTAAAGAAAACTTGTAGATGACATTCCTTATGACAATGTGCCAAAATAATCGTCTCAATATCTTGAAAATTGAGTAAATTATGATTCTTGGAAGTCAGGAAACAGTTACTTGAGATTAGATCAAAATCCAGAAAGTGACCTCTAAAGTATTCAAATTTTTGGTGATCTTACACACATAATTAGCCCTTGACTTTTAAAGTTAAGTTGGAGATGATGTCAAGGAGAGTCATACAAAAAAGATCCACCAAAAAATATTGAATAATGAAAAATTTATGATATTTTGAACTTGAACTTGCAAACGTTGACTTTTTGCGCAATACAGTTGATTTTCAGTCATCTGAACCATCGACTGAGCAAACTTGTGATGCAAGGCTTGAAACTTGACATGAGCATCCTTCAGGACATATGAAGAACCATGAAAACCACTTGATACCATGGAAAATAAATTTTCCTTGAGAAATACAAAACCATAGTTGTGGACCCATTGCTTAGGAGGAGAATTTGTCTGATCAATTCTTGAGCCACCTTGAGAATTTGAGAACCCTAAGAGAATATCTTGAATGAAAAATGGGAGGGAAAATTTTGGGGTACAACAACTGAGTTAGGTTAGTTGGAGATTGCTTGGTGTGCAACTTGCAAGCAATCTCAACCTATAAATAGGAAGGTACCCTATCTAATTTGTATTAAGGCAGTTGCATAGAGAGAAGGTTGAATAAAAATCTCAGTTGAGAGCAGAGAGAAACTATGCATAAATATTCTTCTTCTTCCCGTTTCTCTCAAGCCATAATTTATCTTTTCTTCCCTAATTAATTATTTCTTGTCTTCTCACATAATCATTGTGCAGCGGAATCATCTTGCAACCAAGATGTGGTTGATTCAATCAAATGAAGAGTGAATAACAAGATGCAAAATCAATCAGAAGAACTAATTATGTTCATCAAGATTGATTCAGAAATCTCCAAATTTTAGAAGTAATTCCAACAAAAAAGATTACAACGGAAACAACAACCACTTATATTATTCACCTAAACTAATTATGGGGGGGCCATAAATTTTTTATAATATACCTTTATAACAATAAACTTTTGATTCAACACATCCAAACATCGATCGTTTCAACAATAATATTAAACAAAGGAAATGGAAAAGCTTTTGTAGGTGGCAATGCTTTCAACTGTTACAAAACAAAGATGAAAAATGGATAGTGTGGTTAATATTGAAACCCAAGAAACCCTAATCCTCCAACATTGAGAGGAAATTTTGAATCAGATTTTCCTAATGGCTATGAACCGTAACTTAGATTAGGACAATATGATGATAAAAAATAGGCGAAATGCCCTTTTTGGTCTTTTACGTTAACGTCAAGGTTTACTTTGGTCCCTTAACTTAAAAAATGTTCATATTGGTCCCTTAACTCTTCAAAGCGCTTCATTTTAGTCATTTTTGTGTAATTAGCGACGAAAAACTCAAAAATCGGTCGCTAAATTCCCTGTTAATTGGACAAAAAGGACTAAAATGTAGTGTTTTGAAAAGTTAATAGACCAATATGAACCTTTTTTAAGTTAAGAGACCAAAATGAACCTTGATGTTAACATACGGGACCAAAAAGAGTATTTTTCCTAAAAAAATATGATAATTCAGTTCATATGGACACTAAAGAATATGTTTGATCTTCATGTCACTAAGATAACTATAAAATAAGATTGTTAATTGACATATCAACACTTTAAGAGATTGATATTTTGTGTCTAAAGGAGGATGCTAAGCCGTAATAGTTGAAGGACGACGATAAAACGATTATTGTCGATATAGATGTTCGACAATAATTTACGAATGATAAAATTTTCAGTGCTCGTGAACATATGCTATAATGGGTCAGAATTGAAGCTAGCAAGCTCGGGTTTGGTGTTGTGATTGGAAGGTCTAACAATGACACTAGTAGAAGGCAAGCATTTGAAATGATGACATGCGAGAGAAGTGGAAAATATGTTCCCAAAATTCGGAACTTAAAACATGAAGACATCAGATTGAGAAAATGCGAGTGTCCGTTTAAATTGATCGAATACTATAGAATGGATGGTTTGTGGTGGTTTAGTGTCATATGTAGTTTACATAATCATAGCTACAAGGTCATCCAATTGTATGTCAGCTTAAGCCGATGAAGAAGGAAATTATTTCAAAGTGTCATCCATCAAAGTTGCACCGAGAAACATACTTGCCGATTCGAAACGGAAAAGACCATAAAGTGTTTCAAATATCAAGAAAATATACAATGAATGTTATCATCAGAACATGGTGAATAAAGGTTCGAGATCTGAAATGCATCAACTTTTGAAACTTTTGGATGATAACCATTATGTTTCAAGATACAAAGTGTGTGAGGATAAAGTCGATTCGTGACATATTTTGGACTCATCCAGAAAGTATCAAGTTGTTCAACACATTTCTAACCGTCCTTATAATTGATTCAACATGCAAAACCAACAAATATAGGCTTCCACTGCTAGAAATTTTTGGTGTCACTTCTATGGAGAAGACATTTTCGGTTGGATTTTTATTTCTGGTATTTGAGAAAGAAGACAATGTAACATAAGCGTTAGATATATGCAAGTATTTATTGAAGGATCCACAAAATATGCCTAGTGTCATTGTAACCGACCGATATAACGCCCTTATGAATGTGGTTAAAAGTGTGTTTCCTACTTCATACGCATTAGTTTTTTGGTATCACATAAGAAAAAATGTGAGAGCTAAGTTAAAACTCGCGGTTGGCAATTATGAAATATAGGGTTAAGATAGAGACATGGTAAAATCTAGTGTGGTGGTGGAGAAGATAATGGATGCATGGACAGATATATTAAATTCTTCTACAGAAGAATTATATGTTGAGAATGTGATACATTTAAGAAGCTTGTGTGTGAAATATCCAGTTTTTTGAAATACGTTGAATATACTATTTTTGATCAGGTGAAACAGAAAGTTGTGTCTGCTTGGACGGACCGGGTTAGACATTTGGGAAACACAACAACTAATATAGTCAAATCTGCACATTCGGCATTGAAGACATGGTTGAGTGATAGCAAGGGATACCTTTATAGGGAATGGGACACGGTGAACCAAATGCTCCAAAACCAGCATAACGAAATTCCAACAACTCACTACAAGAAAAATGATAGATTGGGACGGTTATTTTGGCTGATTACGACGGTTAAAACCGTCGCAATTTACAATCTACGACGGTAGAAGTACCGTCGCAGAATCGTGCGTCCCCAGCCTATTTCGCGACGGTTGCAAAAACTGTCACACACAACAGATAGCGACGGTTATATACCGTCGTGAATTTGACTTTATTTTTTGTTTTTGTTGTTGTTTGCGACGGTTATTCTACCGCCGTAGGTTAGAAATTGCGGCGGTTTTAACCGTCGTAATCTGATTTATAAATTTCAAATAATATTTTTATTTAAATTATTATTTAGTAAAATAATTTTAAATATAATATTATTTTACTATAATATTTTACTATTATATTTAAATTATTATTTACTTTAATATTTTTTTATTTATAGTATTTTTATTTTATTTTCTATCACTTTTCAACATAATAAAGTTAATTACAATAAAAACATTTAATATCAAATAATCATCAATAATATCAAAAAAATGTGATCAAAGGTAAAAAGAAGTGCAAATTTTACCAATAAACAAGAAAAATTCAAATATCATCAAAGGCCAAATTTCATTTTAATATTTACATTGGTTTGCTACAACTTGAGAGAATTACAAAAAATGTTACAATATTCTACAAAATTCATGAAAGTCCTTAGTGTTAAGTGATTTTGTGTTAAACTTCCATGCTAGGACCATGATCCTTCCTTGACTACCATTTGGTCCAAGCTACGCATACCTAGCAGCCTGCAAGATTCACACAAAACATATTTTTGTACTCACAAGAACATGTGGCAGGTTTTTGGCATCATAATATGCCTCAGATGGCTTAGTCAATGTCTTTGTGATGACATGTTTTTCCAATTCTACTTGTCCATTTTGCGCTTCTTCTTGTACCTGCATTACAAAACTAACTGTCAATTATGGGCTGGCAGAATAACTCTCACAATCAAACTCCAATTGTATGAAAAGTTATAAGGTACAGAAAAATCAACTACAACAAAATCTCCAATAAAATAAAATTCACGTGAACACCTACAACTAATATTCATAGCTTGTTTGGATTCTCGTTTAGAATGAGAAACGCACGTCTAGAATGGAGTCTGCCGTGAAAATAAAAAATAAAAGCTAAGATTCCTAGCTTTTGGTAGACGCTAGAGGCATATTTGACGCGGAAACAAATACTAACTCAGTATTATTAATTTGAATGAGCAATCCAATTGTTTTGAAATATTTACTATTGGGAAACCATTTGTAAAATAATGCAAGGAGACATTGCTTTTGCTATTGAAGCGTGAGATTTCCGTGAGATACCAGTACTTATTATTGGGAGAAAAGATTTATGAATTATTGCACATTGTAATATGCTTATACCACCTTATAACTTTGCTACAAGTTACCTATAACAAGTGAGATTTTCCGATTTTCAGGAACTATAACAAAAAGAGGTTAGCTTCGGAAAAATATGTTTGAAATATTCAAAACCAAAGGAAGTGTGAGTGTGTAAAGAGAAATGAAGAGAAAAAAATCATCTACCAGTCAAGCAGTTTACATTTCTATTTAAATTATTTGTAAGCTTGATCCAAGATCACTAATGCTTAGATGATAAGTTCATACTTTTGAATTTATTTCATGGAACAGTGAGACCGAAATTCACTTCATTCCACTAAAGAGAGTAGTAGCAAATTACAGAGCATCTTATGCAACGTATACTCAGAAAAGTGACATATCGAGTTGAAAACAATGAAATCTGAATTGACTGCAATCACTACCAACCAATGAGTTGAGGTGAATGTTGTCGCATGAATTGCAATTACAACTTGGCAATCAGTAGAAAGATAGCTAACATTATGCTTTTATCAAGTCCATTGATTTTGAATGAGCAAAACACAGATCCATAAATGCAGCTAAAACAGTTGATGAAACAAGAAAGAGTATTTCATTATGATACTACTTTTTCTCATACACCGAAATCTCTTGATCAAGTCATTATAGAGCACAATTTTAGCCTATATCTCTTGAATGCAAAGGTGTTTAATAAATTAAAACTTAATCTAGATTTATAGAATATTAGATAATTACACAATAGTTAAGGCAAGAAAAATAAACACAAATCAAGTATGTTAAGCTTAAGAAAGAAAAACAGCAATTTGATAACAAGCTTTCTAGAGCATCAAGGAAACTAAATTCATTAACTGATCATTAATACGAAACACTGAATAAGCATATATAAGACACAGACGCCAATCTCAGACCTGATACACAACTAAAATATGAATGAAATAAGCTGAAATGAAATAAAATGACATAATAATACTGATGATAATCCGAGTAAAATTAAATAATTACCTAAAAGTAGTAAATTACACCACCGCATATACCCAAAAGCAAAACGCGCCTCATCCAACAGACAGAATTTTGCATCCAAAAATGAGAAAGACAAGCTGAATCAGTTCTGAATCAGTTCTGGCTATCGATCTTCCTTCCAGTCCCTTCTCCGTCTCTCTGTTCCAACAACCTTCCAGCCTCTTCATCATTCTGAAGAGCCTTCTTCTGCGTCTCCGAAGCCTTAAGCGCCTGCAACTTGGAATGATTATAATACGCAACCCCCAAAAATGCCAACCCATAACCAATCAAATTAACCGGAGTAACAGTATCCTTAATCAAATTAACTTGGAATGATTATATTAGCAAACTGTTGTAAGAGTTTGATTCTTCTTGAATCGAACCATGAACGTTCATAGTAACCGTGACTGTAACCACAGTTTAAAACACTAATATCTTACCAACTGGAGAAACTCTTCCCAGGAGAAGCAGGACGCGCCAAATTCCTCAGCTTCCTTCTTTTGTGCGGCTGAAACATTTCCAAAGCTCACAATAGCTACAACATTGATTTAAACAGGTTAGTCTGCATTAAATGTAGTAAAAAAAAAACTTAATCTTAAATAAGACAGGAATGCTTGACCTACTTTTAACATTTGAAGAACACCGACCAAGACATGACAAAATCTGTGGAAACGAACGTTAGTTTTTTCTCAGAAGATTTAACATTGAAACAGTTAAATGTGTTAGACATTCCATGTTGCAATTGTTAAAACATTGAGCTCAAAAAGCTAGAACATTGAGCTCAAAAAGCTCAAAAAGTTAAATGTGCCACCGCTGCTGCACGTTTAAGGCCTTTTTCAACCGTGATTTTGAGAAGCTGATATGTCTAGCTTCTGTTCACCGTGATTTTCATGTTTTCCACACACGCACTATACCGAGTTGTAACTTTGAGAGAAATGAGAGGACATTTGTTCTTACCAAAAGCTGCTCAAGGAAACAGAAATAAGCAAGCATGCTGACAATGACAAGCACAGGTAACTCCTGCCAAACCCTGTTAAATTGTGCACACAAATTGAAGTGTTACCGGTAGCAATTACTTTTAGTACAAGAAAGATACAAAGAGAACGCTATATTCCATTTATAAACCAATGCACTTGTATCGACCGCAGAAATCCCAAAACAAAATTGACTACATGATAATATTCTGAAGAGTAAACTGAAATCTACAACTTCAATACAAGCAGATCATAGATCGTGGGAATAGCGGTTTGATCAAATTTCGCTACGCAATAATGCTATAGTGCATGAAAGTAAACTAGTTTGGTTGGCCTCATATTTTAGATATTTTCATAAATAATACGCCATTAAAGAAGTTGCCCATAAGATCTCAAGATATGCATATATCTCAAACGAAGCATACGAGTAATAGTTTTTATCAAATGAAAATAACTGCACATGCCTGAAGTCGTCTTCCTGCTGAGACCTTGCTCCGGTATTCTGAGTTTGAACATTTTGGATGCGTAAGAGAGTGACAGGGAGATTCTGAACTTCTTGCTTGCACACATCACATGTCTTGTTACCCCTGATACTGAACCACTTGATAGCGCATTCTTGGTGAGCCAATGCAAGTTCACCTTTGCAACTGCATTCCATCTTCAGCGTCTCACCTCCTTCACATAGCTCAATCAGACAAATCCTACACACAGCTTCCTCTTCAGCTATATCTTCACCGTCATCACCGCCATTTTCTGAACCATGAAAAAATTTTAAGTCGAGTTAATGAAAATGTATCAATCAGCTTTTGTATTGTTAGACTTAATACCTGTATCCTTTTCTGCAGAAGCTTTTAACCATTCTTTAACTTCCTTTGCACCTGGGGTGGAAGGAATAATGCGAAAAAACTTATCCATTTTCCTTATGATTTTTTCTTTGCTATCTACCGGCTCTGAACGAGTGCGAGCTATCGATCCCTGGCTTCTCTGCAAAAGGATCAAATTGGTTAAAACAAAGGATATACATGCAAGATTTGGCAACCACTAAAGAATATAAGAATTAGGACTAGAAAGTGGAAAGCATGCTCATTCACACAAACACGTTTAATTAAACTGTTCATCAAAATAGGACTTAACAAGTTAATCAAAAGACAAAATAACCACTATTTCAAAATTGATATTATAAGTTAAAAGCCTTACATATGGAGAAGCACCAAGACATCCACCAAAAGCAAACTCATTATTAACACACCCGATTTCTTCAACCGGTAGCGAAGAAGTTCTATAAATCTTAGGAGCAAACAGCTTACTCAAAGACACTGATCCTGATCCAGAGACAGAAGGCTTCTCACAAGGACTTTCCGGAGCCAAACTTATCGCCTTTTCAACATCAGATGATGAAGTCCTATTATACGGAAAGTTCAATTTCGGCATAATACTTCTAGCACTCGACAATTTTCCTCTTGTGGTCAAATTCCCTAGATTGTTACTATCACTATCCACAATTGGAGCAGCATCAACAGAACGTGAAGTCACAAGAAAATTCACCTTCTTGTGAGTCGGAGTTGGATTCGGTGTTAATGGCATCTTAATCGCAACAAATTCGTTCGAAAATGATGATGATGAACCAGACGATTCTTCTGATGTTTTGTAGGGTATTTCCATTTGAGTTCCGCTACACATCACTGCCGCGAATCCACCTAATTTTACACAAAACCCTAACAATTTGTTCAAATTATACTATGTAGTGCAACAATTCTACTATGAGATCCAAAACCCTAATTATGGTAAATTAGCAGCAACAACAAGAAGAAGTAGAAAAAAGAATTGAAATCGAGAGAATGACGTACCAAAGATACATCCAACAGACCAGATATCAACTCTAGTAGAGTAGGTAGTAGATCCAAGCAAAACTTCAGGAGCTCTATACCAAAGAGTAACAATCTCATGAGTATAACTCTTAAGCGGGACGGTAAAATCCCTCCCAAGACCAAGATCAACAATCTTCAAAATCCCTTGCTGTTGATCGAGAAGCAAATTCTGCGGCTTCAAATCCCGATGAGATTGAAGCGAAGAAGGTGGTGGTGGTTGTTGTAGAAGATGGAGAGGGAAGTGGGGGAGAAGGAAGAAATGTTGTTGGTGGTGGTGAGTAGTGGAGATGAAGATGGAGGGAGTGGATGGAGGTTGAAATGAAGAGAAGACATGGTTGTGGTGGAAGCCAGTGATGTCGGGCAGCGACGAGAAGAGAAAAAAGGAGAAGCTTTTGGACCTGTTATGTTCTTTTGTTAGAAAATCTTTTAATTTTTTTATATTAATTTAATTTGATAAATATATAAATATATTATATTATTATCACTTTTTTGTAGTGTACGGGGTGACGGTTGTTATACCGTCGTGATGTGTATTTTATGGCGGTTTGTTAACCGTCGCGACATTGATTTTAGGACGGTTTAATAAAAAACTGTCGCAATATTTAATAATTTTTTAAATATATAAGGACGATTGGTGTATACCGTCGTGAAATGTGTCTCTATATTAGAATTACGACGGTTATCAAGTAACTGTCGCAATTTTTGTGTCGTAAAATCCTAATTTTCTTGTAGTGAACTTTTGGTCAGAGCACAATCATGGTAGAACAGAGATTCAAAGACAACCCTCTCTACTCACAGTTTGTTCTCAACATATCCTGGGCAGGATTGAATTTAATTTTTCATGAAGCGAAGTGAGCGAAGACGATGGGGCCGGATAGTTCGAAGTGTGGATGTACAATTAGTAAAATTTACGGAATTCCATGTGCTTGTTTGATTTCTAAATAGATGAAGCTAAATTCTCCCATACGTAAGGATGAGGTCTATAATCATTGGAAAAGACTTCAGTTTGAAGACTAGTGTAACACCCTTCTAAACCCCAAGATTAATTCACGAATAAATTAATAAATAAATCAACACAAAGCACCAACGAGGGTGTCACATCGTAATACAAACATCTTAAATAAACATCCTACTCCGTAACACGGGTTTTAGACAATGATAACAATTATTTCTTTAATAACATCAACATATAAATTTAGACTTTGCAGCGGAATCTTAGTCTCAATCATAAATTCATTTATTTCATCAAAAACATCAAGACCTTTTGGTCTTATCCTAGGTTAACATCAAAATAAATTCAACAAATAACAAAAACTCATGAGATGTATTTTAAACAAATGACAAACTTCAAAACTCAAGCGTTCCCGACCCCAATGTTACATATCAGAGCAAGACCCTTTAATTCAACATAAACACACTAAATAACTCCAAAGCTATCCTCACGCTTCTACGAGCTATTCGCGATCACCTGCGCATTACCGAAGTGGAGGCAACATTCAAACAGAAAGGATGAGTAATCATAAATCATTACAAAAGATATACAGAATAGATATAGTAGTTACAATAACAATCATCAGGAAATCCATATATCATCATACATCACATATTATGCTCACACTTTCACATCATCAATTCATTCATGGCTTCATTATATCATCAAATCAAAAATCATCACCAAAACATCGTTTAATTCACAACATCGTCAAACATCATTTACTCAATAATCATGCAATGACACAGGATATAATGCAACAGTATTGACTCATGCATGTGGTATCAAACTTACTTGATGAACACAGGGTCATCTCTCTCCAAAGATCCCCACCATAGGATCGATTCCCTCTTGGAACCAAAGCATATCATAATATTGCACTCAATACACACAATGGGATTTAGGCCATCATTGGACAAATATTCTAACAATACAGACGGACCAACGTCCTAGCATATGCCATGAATGTATGATGCACAAAAACATTAATAATTTGACCACTGCTAGCCAATTGCATCATGATTCATGTAATCATCATCTAAACATCTTCACATGGTACATATGTATATATTAACACGCACATCATTAATCATCATTACAAACAGCATCTATCATGTCACGTCAACATCATAATCACCATAATTAATTTCACAACAACATCATATTCATCATTAGAAATAGAACATCCCCAATTATCAATTATACAAAACATGTGGATACATTTCACAAAACAACATAACTCGACAGTACGAAACACCCTCCATGCATCAAATAGTTGTAATTATGGTACTAAAAATACTTTTAAGATAAAGTACATTAAACCAGCTATCCAACAATCCAAACCATACGTCAATCGGACACTCACAACTCGAGTTATGAACTTTCAAAGTTTTTCAACAAAATAGTTTTGTCCCAGGTAACTGGTAACTTCAAAATCAGTAATGGGTTACTTCAACTTTTCCACCCCTCTGTTATGCAAAATTTGTAGTAGGTAACCGATTACTTTAAAACCAGTAACTGGTTACTTCAATATAACAATGTCATTGTCCCCATGTTTTTGCTCAGGTAACTGGTTACTTCAAATGAGGTAACCCATTACTTTTCCTGCAGAATCACTTTTCTCCTATAATTTTACATGAAAATCACTTTTCTTCCATATCCAAACATATCCAGTATCCACACATTATACAAAACATAATCCAAATTCAATTTCCATCTATATGCATCATTAGTAACATGCCAATTTATCAAGTTCATCATCCATGTTATAAAATTCATCATAAACCCCAAATAAATCCTACATACACCTAAACCCCATATCAATTATAATAACATGGATCACCTATTTACCTGGTTATTTCCTAGCAGATGATTCTTTCCCTTTTGCATTCTCTACCGAAATCCTCTGGGTTCCTCAATGCCCTAGCTCTTTCTCCATATATTATCTCTCAAAACACGATAGTACATAATGAACGCCCAAAAACCCCAATCTTTCCTTTTGTTACTCTTACCCCTTGGACTCCTATTATGATAATCTCATATTACCCTCACTAATCATCATAAAATTATCACCTTGCCCTTAATATCTCTATAAATATTATCTTATTTAATTAATAGAATAATTCTAAATAGCTATAACTAATTATCTAAATTATAATTAATTCTCATCATCTTCTTAGACCAACACTACCCTACAACATATTATCATCACATAACATAATTCAACAGAAATTCATATATTCATCAATAATCACAAATATTCACACCAAATCAATTAAATAAATAATTATAGATTTTTAGGGTGTCACAACTCTCCCCCACTTCAATAATTTCCTCCCTCCAAAATTACATGACGGGAACATAGTTAGATAAGACTCTCTCATCTGATCCTCGTGCTCCCAAGTCAAACTCCCACCAGTTGGTCCACCCCACAATACCTTCCCCAAGGCAATCTCTTTACCCCATAACTACTTCACTTTCAGACCTTCTATCTACACGGGTGATGCTTCAACTGTCAGGTTCTCTCTCATCTATACATCATCCATTTGAATCACATACAAAGGATCCGGAACGTATCTCCTCTATTGAGACACATGAAACACATCATGAAGATTCGCGAGCGAAGGCAGTAAAGTAATCCGATAAGCCACCTCATCTATCTTGTCTGAAATATAATATGGACTAACAAAACGGGGAGTGAGCTTTCGCAACTTCAAAGCTCTACCAACACTTGTTACTAGAGTAACCCTAAAAAATACATATCTTCTACTTGGAACTCAAGCGCTTTTCTCCTCTTATCATGATAACTCTTCTGGCGGCTCTGAGATGCTTTCATCTTCTCTTGAATCATCTTAATTTTTTCAACTATCTCTTGCACAATCTCAAGTCTGAGTATTGCACTCTGGCCTAATTCATACCAACAAAATGGAGTTCTACACCTCCTACCATACAATGCTTAATATGGTTCCATCCCAATACTAGAAGGAAAACTATTATTATAGGTAAACTCAATCAATGGCAAGTGGTTGTCCCAAGAACCCCCTTGTTCCAACACACAAGCCCTTAACATGTCTTCCAAAGACTGGATAGTCCTCTCTGTCTGACTATTCGTCTGTGGATGATAAGTTGAACACAATCTTAACTTAGTACCAAAAGCATCTTGCAAACTTTTCCAAATTATCAATGTGAACTGCGGATCTCTATCTGACACAATACTCGAAGGTACATCATGTAACCTCAAAATTTTCTCAATATACATCTCAACAAACTTTTGCATGGAATGATTGATCTTCATCGGTAAGAAGTTATTCAATTTAGTTAATCTATCCATTATTACCCAAATTGAGTCATTGCCTTTAGTAGTCTTCGGAAAACCCGACATAAAATCCATATAGATCTTATCTCATTTCCACTCTGGAATATTCAGCAGTTGCATCAAACCCAAAGGCTTCTGATGCTCAATCTTCAACTTCTTTCAAGTCAAACAAGCATAAACAAATTCATAAATCTCCAATTTCCTTCTAACAAGTCAAGAGATATTTTATTAAGATCTTTGGCTAGTTTTAAGGTTGTGACCATGGGTCTCCATTTCTTGGTTAAGCTTCTGATGATTTTCTTTACATGATTTGTTGTGGAGTACCCTTTGTCAAGAACTTTCAATCCAGGAACTAGAGTTTGAAACCTTGAGAACATTGTCTCAATAGTTTCTTCTTCTTCCATTTTGAAATCTTCGTACTTCTGGATGAATGCAAGGGCTTTGGTCTCTTTGAGTTGTATGTTACCTTCATGCGTCATTCTCAGAGAGTCAAACATGTTTTTAGCAGAATCTCTGTTTGTGATCTTCTCATACTCAGTATATGAGATAACACTAAAAAAGATTGTCTTGGATTTATGATGGTTTCTGAGTTCTTTCTTTTGTTGATCTGACATTTTCTTTCTATTAATCTTCTGACCATTTTCATCACTAGGATAAATGTAGCCATCAGTAACCATATCCCAGAGATCAACATCATGAGTTAGAAAGAAACTTTTGGTTATATCCTTCCAGTAATCGAAGTTCTCACCATCAAAGATTGGAGGTTTGTCGCTGATTCTCTTTTTCTCATCATGGTTATCATTGTTGATAATCTGAATTGGTCCCACCATAGTGTTTTTCTTGCTAGGATCTTTTTCTGACACTGTTAAGTGTTTGCACCCAGAACCAGGCACTCTGATACCAATTGAAGAATGGAAAAACACAAGAAGGGGGGGTTTGAATTGGGGTTTTCAAAAATAGACAATATGACACATTGGTTATCCTGGTTTGTTTGAACTCAAACTACTCCAGTCCACCCGCCAAGGTGATTTCGTCTCTCTCAACCAAGGTCTTAATCCACTAATCAAAACTTGATTACACAGATACAATGACTACTGTCAATGTCTTCTTGAGTTTAAACCAGAACTCAGTTTTTCTCAAGGTATTACAAAATAAATCAAATAAGAGTGTGTACAATGATGTTTCTAAACAAAACTATATCACAACAGTGATGTATACACAAGTGTAAAGCACAAGATAGAACAGGTAAAAATATTTCTTTCAGTCCGCAGTAGTGTTGTGTATGATTTCTTCTTCAAGTCTTATTTATATAGGCGAGGCATATGGGACATGAGAAAATGTTTTTGGAAGGTTGATAAAGTATTATTAATGCAATTTCCAAAAATATAGATCTTGTCTTAGTTCAGCCGTTACTTTTTAATTTGTAATGAATGAGTTGTAATGTATCAGAACTTTGATTCCTTGGGATCTTATCAGAATAAGAATATTACTGTTGAGACTTTATATCCTCAGAGTTTCTCGATATTCATTAGAACTTGGATGATACATTGAAGCTTCTTTTACAAATCAAAGTTTTTACTATCAGTGTGTAGCTTTAGTGCTGAATATTTAGAATAATTTTATAGATGAGTGTGTTGAGACTTCTTTTGTTCTTCCAAAACATTACTTATCAGAATATCATAGCTTTTCTTGCAACGTTGGTGCTTCAGAAGTTATAACATTAGAACTTCTTCTATTTAGCGTGTTACACGGATTTGCTTCTAAGTTTGTTGTGTCTTATCAGAGCTTCAAAATGTAAATCTCTCATCATCTTCTATGCTTCTTTTATCAGAACTTCTCTGCATATTCAAATACATTATTAGAGAGCATATTTGTTCTTTATATATATCATGTATTTGTTATCCTAAAACTATTACAAGGATGTAGAACCAAACTATGTTCTAACAATATCCCCCTTTTTGATTATGACAAAAACTTGTATATTTTGATAGATTACTTAAGAGCATAAAGAATTAGAGTCTCCCCCTGAGTTGAATACTCAGATAAAGAAAAAAAATACTTCTCTGAAGATGTTACTTTAAAGAGATTTTTCATGTTTTCTTTCAGAAGATAAGACATAAGTTATGATATTCAAAATGTTTGAGACTAAGTCTCGGTACAGTTATATTC